TGCGACCCGATGTGGTCCACGTAGTTCGACTCAAGCCGTTCTTCGTGCGTCAGGACTGTGACGCCTAAATTTTATTTCGACTCGCCGTATTTTTTTTTTTTTTATTACCCATCTTTTTTTCTCCGTTGCATCGGGACAATGTGCTTCAAAGAAAGGGATGATGCGGCGCGCAGGGCCGAGCAAGCAACGCTCGGTCGCCGACTTCTAAAAGATTTGCGTTATTGTTACTCGGGACTTAATTTTCATAATTTCGTCCTGCTTTCTTGTTCTCGCAACTGCCTGTTCATGCGCACCCCGACTGCGTGACGCTCGAACCTTTTTCGTCGAATATTCAAGATGGTGACGCACGCAAGATATGAAACTTCACGGGACCTTGTCCAGTCAGTCTTGCTCTCGCTTTCTGTTACGCCGCAAAATCACCGCACGCTTTTCTGCTGCCTCGACGCTCGTTTTTATCATTTTGTTTGGAACACGTTCGCCGATTAATAATTTATTTTAAATGTTCATCCTCTCGCCGCCTTCATTTGTTACAATATTAGCAATATCATTAATGTTTAAGTTAAATAGCAGTGGTCCAAGCATGCTTCCTTGGGATACTCACGATGTTATTTTTTTTTTTTTTAATTAATTATTTAAATAACCCCGCAGCGTCCTTGAGGACATTATAGTGGGGAGGGTAAATGCACAATGAAACTTGACGCCAAGAAACAATTTGCTGCTTTGACAATCATACATTGAAGAGGTGCCTTATCCACTGCAAACATGCAAATGGAAACAAAACCAAAAGAAGAAGCCAAATCAGCGTCATGCTATACACACTCATCAATGTACAAAGACAAAATGGAAGCTCGTAGAAAGAATAAAAATTATGTTTTACAGTGCATAAAATATTTGAGAGTTTGCATTTGATCACACTATCCCTTCACGTAGCTGATGTCTATGGGGCATACGTCGCTGGGCCGAGTGTTCATCTTAACGCAGCCTACGGCAGGTTGCTCCAAGCCATGTCACCTCCTTGGAAGTTCTGTCGGCGGTAGCCGGTCGAGTCCAGCGAACCCATCCCGGACGATAGAATCAGACACAAGACTCACGATCTCTCAAGCAGAATCTCTCTCGGATGATCCCCCGTGCTCTATTTTTCTATTTTACTTCCAGGGCGCGCAGTCGCGCCATCTACTTAGACAAGGAAGAATAAGAATTTAAAATCACTACAGGTGCCTCTGAGGACAGGGCTGTAAAATCGGTGTTGGATGTGTTCACTCAGCATTCTGTGCGGTAAGGTTTACCCATGAACTACCGGATAGAGCACGCCTCCAATTTTTAGAGCTTAGACTAGAATTTTGAAGAAGTCACGTGTGTTGGCTTTACCAACCACGCAATAAAAAGGGACTACTTTCTTGTACTGCTGCCCCCTCTAAAGTCGTAAAAAGGAGCATTTCGTCTTCTTGCTACCAGACCGCCTTGGAAAAGTCCTACTACCATTGAATGTCAGTAAGTTTTAGGATTTAGGTACAGCGGCTGACAGATGCTGGCTTTCCAACATCAGGGTTTTTGGCTGTGGCGCCGACGTTGTTGAAAAAGGATGGTTGAGTCAAAAAAGGGACCCACAACGAGACCCCAGGTGCTCCCTTACATGCACAAAATCTCGCACAATTTTAAAAAGGTGGCCCCGAGTTTGACGTTCCCACTGTTTTTTCGGCCCCTCCAAAGTTTGCGCCACTCTGCCCTAGAACTGCTGAAAAGGCTGTGTGCAAGAGCCACTGTGCCGTAAAGAACAGGAACAAGTATGTTGATTCTGCGATTCGTGTAGTATATAAAATCCCACTAAACTGCTGAAGAGTGTACGTCACCCAAACTAGCCGATGTATTAATGACAGAGCACGTGAACATGACTGGTCCGTCCGGTCGACCGCAGGGGTCACTAGCCTCTGCATTGTGCTGCTCGTAAATGCCAGCCCAAGTTCAACATCACCATCATCGGGAGGGGCACAAACAAAACCATGAGAGAATAATTGGAAGCGTATGCAATAACAAAAAAGCGGCAAGATGCATGTGTAGCCAAACATTGGTTTTTCTACACAAAAAATGAAATTGCTTATCTTCACACGCGCTGGAGCAGTAGTGCGGTTTGCTTCGGTGTGTTTTTCATTAAATGCTTAGTTCTGAGTCCAGCGCTTGTTTCGTTCTGATCTTCCCTTTTTCATTGTCTGCTTATTTCTTTGCGCTGTTTAGTTCCGATTAACATTCTAACCTTGAATAAGCAACCGGGTTCTCGAATTTAGCAGAACGTGACATTTACAAAAACAACAAAAAGGCGTATTTGCGGCCAGGCATCGAACCACGGCTATTTGCTTGGGAGCCAAGCACGATAACCGTTCGGCCACGGGAGCGCTGCCTACTTGGCCAGCTGCGCGCGCGCGGCCTTATTCCCCCCTTTAAAAAGTACATCGCCCCGATGCAACTCACGAGAAAGAGAAAATAAAAAGAATGGTAAACTAAAGAGTCATGTGGAACACATAGCGTCCACACTCTCATCGAGCGTGAACGGCTTGAGTCGAACGACATGAACCACATCGTGTCACGGTCGGCGACGCGATGAAGCTTGCGTTCCGTCAGGCACCACTTCGTAGTTGAGATCTCCCAGGCATCAAACGACCTTGTATGATCGAAAGTAGCGCTTTAATAGCTTTTCGCTGAGGTCATGGCGTCGTATCAGTGTCCACACCCACATCTGGTCTCCGGTCTTGAAGTCAACGACCAGACGTCGAAGGCGGTAGCGGCCAGCGTCGAGACGTTGCTGATCTTGGATCCAGACTCGGGCGAGCTTGCGGACTTCTGCTCGTAGCGCAACCACCTGGACGTCGTCTCTTTCGTCGCCAGTAGGCTCGTAAGGTATTACGACATCAGGCATCGTCGTAACTTTCCGACCATGCACTAGCTGGAGGGGTGTACAACAAGTGGTTTCTTGAACCGCTGTGTTATAGGTGAGCGTGACATACGGCTGGACCTCAACCCACCTCTTATGTTCCACGTTGACGTACATCGGCACCATGTCAGCGATGGTCTTGTTTAGGTGCTGAGGGTGGTAGGCTGTGGTTCGCCGGTGGTTGGCGTGGCTGAGAAAAAAATCCCTTGCGTCAGCTTTGCCATAAACGATAACACGCTATCTGTAATCAGAAGATCGGGAGCACTGTGCCGTAGGACGATGAACTCGATAAAAAAATACTTGGCGACATCCACAGCAGTCCCTGGAGGACGGGTTTTCCGTTTGGCGTACCACGTGAGATAACCTGTGGCGACGCGTATCCAGCGGTTTCCTCATTTTCACGGCAAAAAAGGGGAAGTAGATCCAGTCCGATCTGCTAGAACGGCATGAACGGGGTAGCAATCGTATGCAGAAGTCCCGACTGCTTCGTCGATGATTTCTTACGCCTCTGACACTCATGGCATGAGTGTCAGAGGCGTAAGAATACTTTTTTTAGAAGCAGCTGGACGCTTCATCCAGCAGAACTTCAATGAAGGAATCTTCAGTTGTCCCTACAGGTACAAAAACACTTGACCGCGGCGGCAGGTTTACACAGTAGGAAAGAACATGGACTACGTACGACGTCGTATTTTTCCTCTTGTGGTGGAACAGGTTTTTATATCGTCAACCTTTTCGCCCCCACATCAATGACAGCTCAGCACTCGCAAAAGAAGTCCATTTCTAGCACAACGTCTCTCGCACAGTTCTGAAGGACAACAAACTTCACCGGACAGGTTTCGCCATAAATCTCGACGCCAGAGGTGCATCATCCGACGCGCATGACGAGGTGTCCTCCAGCGGTTCGTATCAGAGGTCTATCCCACGATGTTGTCACTTTCGCATGCGGCGAGGGAGCCCCCCACTCAAGACTGAGTAGTCGGGTTCGTTTTAGATGAGTGCCGTCGCGTTGTGGCCGTCAATAACTGTGTTTACGTTGTTCGGGACCGTCGCAGAAGCGTTCTGCCTCGGCGAATCGTCGTTAGAGTGGGAGCTATCCGGCATTCTTGGAGGCTCTATGCTTCGTCCGCCTTCGGCAAGGGCACCTCCAGGCGTTGCCGCACTCAGTTTTCTTGACGAGACAGGGGGGACAGGCTCTCCCGGTGAGAGCGGCAAAAGGGTGAAACAGGACGTTGTGGTGATGAAGAGCGGAATCCTCGAAGTGAAGACGGCACCGGAGATGGTGAGCTTCGCAGATACTCTTCAATTTTATGTGGACGCTCGCCGTACCTCTGACGTGGGTCGTTCGGCATGAAACCGGGAAGTCCAAGCTGACTGTAGGGAAAGCGCTGGGAGAGGTGGTCTGCTTCTCTGCAAGGGTGGCAAAAGGGGTACCGCCCTACCGTCCTCCAAGGTAGGTCTTCATCGTGCCACGCAGCTTTAGGTGCGAAGCCTACTGCGGCGCCGGTGCCTCTCGTCATGGAGCTGGCTGGTATTGCCGTGTGGCGGGAGGTGCTCTCTTGGCGGTTGGCGCAGGTCAAGGCCGGCTGTTCGGGAGTCACTGCGACGGGGACCTCTGGCAAGAGCGCCCGGTGTACCTCCTCGCGAACCACCTCGACGATTAAAACAGCAGCTGGTCGTTTTAGAGAAGGGAGCAACCATTTCAGTTCTTCTCGAGAAACATCCCGAATTCCACCAGCATCCTGGTGGTGGTACTACAGCTGAGGTTGATGAGAATGATGCTGTAGACGCCTGTAGTGGTGTAGGTCGTTCTCCAACTTGATATTTCACGAAAACTTCAGCAGTCAGGAGTTGGTAGATTCTAACGACAGGGGCACTTGCGTCCCTTTGCTTTTGCCCTTAAACTTCTACGACCAGCCTCCAGGATTGCGACCTCCAGGGTCGTGAGACAGCGGCTCTTGTGACGTCACTTTTTGCCCCTTCGGGACCATTTCCAATGCATGGGCGCTATAGGCCGCTAAACACACCAATCGAAGGCGCTGTCTCAGCAGCGTAAAATACTCTACTTCTTTTCCAGGTAACAACGAGTTCCAGGACCTGCGTGTTGTGTGTCTCAGGGACGCGTCCGCGTGGGACACACGCCACTGTGGCGGGAAGGCTTCGTCGTTGGCCGTCCTGAGCGAGATGGTACCGCTGTCTCGAGAGAAGGTAAACACGGTGGATAAATTAATGGAAGCATGCATACTGCCCAGCATTTCAACTCACCTAATTAGTGTTCTAAAGCTATCCTAAACTGAAAACGCGGATCAATTAGAGTCCCGTTGTCACGAAAAATGCATTAACTTTATCTCCATATATTACAGAGACGTTATTTACCGTTCATACTAAAAATAATTGAGTGCCGTATGCTTCTGATTGGTGTCTAACATTATTAAATTGGCTTTCTTGGAACTCATAAAGATGGCACAAAATTATTTCCTTTCCTTCGGCGTTGTTTTATTTAATTGTAATATTGTCGCGCCCTTCGTGCCAAAGGCTTGGTCAGCTATTAAAATATGCGTAATTGTGTTATTAAATCTGCATGCACTAAAATTTTAAACATGTCCTAATATTAATAATGCTCATGCGGTATAAAATAATATAGATGCGGTGCCTAATACCGTTCTTTTCCACAAACCCAAAACCTAGAAATGTGAATAATTTAATAACTCATCCACTATGACTATGAAGCAAATAACTAGAGTCTCATCCTCTCTCATTCGAGGCAGGACTTCAAAAATTTACTCGCGGGAAAATTCTCAATATTTAATTAAACGCGCGGCCGTAACCGTGTACTTCATGGTTTAGGATTTACTCGGCAAAGCAAACAATACTTACAATTAACTCTAAGGCCATATATCAATGAACATAGATCATAAAAACAAAAGTAGATTGGCTAATTTTCTACATTGCTGAGACCTAACACCGAAAGCACCCAGGAAAGGTTCAAAATAAATCTCAAAGGGTTCTTAGCTCTGTCTTCTTTTCCTGCCTATTTAAAGCACGAAACGACTTTACCGGAACCACCAACACCAAAATTTTGCCCGTACGTCTGTCCGTCAGTCTGTACGTACATTGCATACTAAATTTAGCGAGAAAAAGAACGACAAGTGACCTCAACAACAATTTCGTTTCCCCGCATAAGGTAGTGGGAAAATGAACGTCATGTGATCTTGTGCCTCAAGGCCAAAACACCAGTCCAGTTCACCATTAAAGTTAACGGGAAAATTCCCTTTACGTGACTTGAGGGGACGATTGTTACGCACAAATTCAATTTCCCCGCTAAATTTAAAGAAACATTTTATTTTATATCACCGCACATCATATAAAACACCAATTCAATCTCTAAATTACGCTAGATTTTAGTTATTTTATTTCCAGATACTGCGACCTCAGTGGAGGTCATTGCAGGAGTGGGAAAAAAGAACGCAATAAAGTACAAAAGGATGATATATGCAGAACAATGTACAGACAAAATTACCCTAAAATTAACAGATATAAAAGGAGAGTCGAATATTAATCAAAAGTAATTGTGGATATTCATAAAACAAAAACACCATACGGGAGCATACGAATTGACCCGTCTAGTTTATTCGAAAGTGTTATTGTGCGTGGGAAAAAAAAATAATTTTGAAAACATTTCATGTGAGGCTGAAATGGACCAGTGTTTAAAGAATTTGAATGTCTTGTGCGTGCGCTAAGTGAGAAAGGAATGTAGTTAGTCCTCGTTAACACTTCTACGTAAACGTTTTAGTCACTCAATAGTACGCCTGAAGGAAAGAGAATCAAGCTCTAAGATTGACATGGAGGTTGACTGTGAAAAATTGCCATCATACCTTCTAAGAATAACTTGGACGGCTTTAGCTTATATCGAAATAAGCAGATTAATATCTCCTTTTAAATAAGGGTCCCAGACTACGGATGCGTACTCTAAAATAGGCCTAATAAGGGTTTTATCCGCTAGTAACTTAACGTGTTTCGTCAAAACTTTCAGCGTTCGTTTAACACATCCCAATCTTTTAAGGGCACGGAAAGAGGTAAAATCAACGTGCTTGTCCCACTTAAGGTTAGGAGTAAATATATTTCCTAGATATTGTCACGAATGGCAAATGATGAAGCGAAGAAAAACTGAAGAAACGGAACGTTTAGCGGGCTAACTTGTTGCCGAAACGAAATAGAAGTAAGTTAAGGTCGCGGGCGTCGATGTCGGCGAAGCAGCAGGTTCGAGCCCTGGAGCGAAACTGACTACGCGGCTTACCACGCGGAGCCTCTTGTGTACACTTGTAGGCGTCTCGAGCATTCAACGTAGAAGGTTCGGTGCCTAGAACAGTCTAACCTCGAATCAGCAAGACGGTTCTCGAATTTACAAGAACATCGCATTACCGAGCCAACAAAAATGTGTAGCCGCGGCCAGGAATCGAACCCAGGCCAGTTTGTTACAGGTTTGAAAAAATAAAAGATCCAAATAATCCCCATGCACACACAATCCATAATTTTGTTAGGACCGCTGACCGGACGATAGGTCCACGCCCTGGTGGACTGACTCACATGAGGGGCGAGGAACGAGACGGAGGCGTTGCGTTTAATTAACAAACGTTTCACTTGAATCACCTTCAACTGCAACGCATGCACCAAACGTAAAAAAATATTAATAAACGGAAACCAACTCTTACCCTTCTAGCGCGCGGCGCTTTTGCACACACAATCAAATTCAAGAGAAAAAAAACACTGCTTTCCTTAGCATGCAGGCGCTACTCACGTATAAAAAAGAGTAACCGGCACAGCAACGGTTTAACGGCGTTGCCTCGTGGCCTCGCGGTTATCGCAAGCGCGATAGCCGTTAGGCCACGAGAGCGCTTCCCATCTGATCAGCTGCGCGCGCGCCAATATTTAAAATCATGAATCTCATTTAAAATTACCTCGTTACACCCGTAGCGAAAGATTAAAGGTTTTTTTATTTGTAAACCCATAAACAGTCTTTGCAAAATTAATATCCATTTGCCACTTTTTGCTCCAGTTAAAAAAGCGCACGAAAGACTCGCTAAGCGGCTCCTGATCATTTACGATGCCAATATTGTTACACAGGACACAATCATCGGCATAAAGGCGATTTTTAACAGCTATGTTCTCTACAACATCATTGATATAGACAAGAAAATAAAAGAGGCCCAAAAACAGATTTCTGTAGAACTCCTGAAATAACCATAGCATCCGAAGAGGTAACATTCCCGCCAGCAACAAACTGTGTTTAGTCCTTTAATTAGTAGGTAATCAAATCAAACAATATACTGAGTCCTGAGTGTTACGTCTATTTTTAAAAGCAGCTTTGATTGGAAAACTTTATCGAAGGCCTGCGCGAAGCCAATAATAATGGCGCAAATTTGGCCTTTTTTATTTAAATACGATTAAAATCCTAGGGGAATTTCAGGAGTTGCGTGGTAGTTGAAAAATTATGACGAAAACCACGCAGTTAAGGAAAAAGGATATGATTACTTTCAACGCGCTCAGATATATTCTTGTATACCATATGTTCTAGGCGTTTACAGAACGGTGATGTAAGTGAAATCAGCCTACAATTTTTAATGTCCTGCTTAATACCGATTTTGAACAAAGGAACTATTCTAGCTGATTTCCAAAGCCTGGGAACACTAGCGGTTGAAAGATACTTTACAAAGACTGCAGTTATGTACTAAGATGGCCAAGAATAATAGCGATGAAGAAATTAATTAGGAATACTATAAGGGCCTCAACTATTCTTGCAATCAATATTTAAGAGTGAGTTAATAATACAAGAAACACTGATTGCAAAATTCGATATGTACAGACACTCTCAAATGAAACCAGCACCGTGACCATTATCTTGAATAGAGACAGACCGAAAATATTCATTAAGCTCATTAGAGACATCCTCTGGATTGGTAAGGCATTGGTCAGGAATAATAAAACTACGAAATAGGCCACTTTTAGGAGAAATTGATCTCCAGAACATGGCATGGTTGCAGTTCATAAACTGAGATAAAACCGTATTAAAGTAGTTTTCTCTCGCTTCGGCCATTTTTTAGGCCCATGAGTCTTTTAAGAAGTGGAAACGATTAATGTCCTGGATTATAACTCTGCTTTATTTTCCTACTTCTTCTTACACGACGTGATAACTGCAAAGCTTCTCTGATGATCCATGAATGGATTTGGTTATCTTTTCTAGTTTAAAAGGAACAAACCTTGAAATACAGTTATTAACTATGTATCGGCGAGTGACCCATACCACCCCACCGGCCGCCTTTTTCACGTCGTGACCAGATCATCGGTACACGCTTCCTGGTCGAACCGGAAACAGAAGTAAGCTACATTCCTTCTGCCGCACTCGATCGCACAAATCTCGAGATATGTTCGCTGCAAACAGTCAACGCTTCTCCCATTGCCAGCTGCGGGCAAGTGTCGCTGACCTTGAACATCGTTCTTCGACGCATTTGTAGTGGCTGTTTGGGTGGCCGATGTTAGGTGCACGATAACCGGTGCCGATGTCCTGCGCATTCCAACCTACCTGTGCACATGCCCAACAAGCGCCTCATAGACGCATCCACACATACTGTACGTGTCGCGGATATCATTCCAATCCCTAGAGCGTAGTCCTTCTTTCACGAGACCAATGCCTATTAAGATCACCCGCCTGCTCGACACGTGTCTCGACTTAATCAAGCTTAGAAACACCGATGAAGTCGGGAAGCGTAATGCAACCCATCATATTTTCCCGACGAGACCGCGAGTTCATTGCCGGCCACGTCGTTTTGACCCAGAAGGTATTTTAACACATGCTTCACCTTGGCACTCTGCGCCCCTTGTCTAAGTCTTGGTCATCCACACTTCTCATGGTGCCCAAAAATACCGGCGACTTGTGCTCGTGTCATGACTATCGCACCCTCAACGGGGTGATGGTACTTTACCGCTACAACATTCCCTGTGTCCACGAGCGGATGTCATTTCTATCGGGAAGAACTATATATTCTAAAATCAACCTTACCAAGGCATATCATTTTACATTTTATTCCCGTGGAGCCTGGCGACATCCTTTAACTTGCAATAACTACACATTTTGGGCTCTTGAAATAGGTTCGGATGCCTTTTGGACTTGGAAATATTATCCAAATTTTTTAACGTCCTAGAGATGCTGT